ATGCATCTATCCATCTATCCATCCATCCATCCATCCATCCATCCATCCATCCATCCATCCATCCATCCATCCATCCATCCATCCATCCATGCATGCATCGATCCATCTATCCATCTGACCATCTGACGATCTATCTATCTATCTACCTATCTATCTATCTATCTATCTATCTATCTATCTATCTATGTATCTATCTAGCGATCTATCTATCTGTCTATCTACCTATCTACCTATCCATCTATCTATCCTCATCGGAACTCCCTGGACCCTGAGCCTTAGACTTAAACCCTCCGCGCTCAATGCAGTTGAGAGGCGTTAGCGCCAGTAGACTCAGTTGTGCGGTTCTTGTTGCCTTGATGAAGAAGCGCCATGATCTCCTGATCGTGAAGCTGTGTAAGGCTGGAGGCAAGGCGGCAAGGGTGAGGAAATCGGGCTTTTTAGGGCTTGACCTGGTAGTCCTAGTGACCAGCCGGCCTGTTTTCGCTCATGCAGTTGCTGGTTTCTGGTTGGAGGCTAAGTAAGTTGCTGTTCAGGCTACTGCGTCTACGGTTCAGCGTGCCCAAATTGAGGAAATGCTGTTCGTTCCTCTTGTTTTTCCAGTATACCCTCAATCGTGTGGACGCGCCTTTTCGTACTGTTTAGTGGTCACTAGGAAAGCCCAAGAAAAAAAAAAGGGCAACCGACAAACGACGACGACGGCACTGCCTAACAGGCTCTTCAAACGAGGGGACCAACTTAGGTGCGAAATCCTACCAAATCCCAACCTTAATACATCTCAGCCCACCCGGTTACTCAACTTGTCAATATTGAACCTTCCAACCACCGCAATAGAATGTCGCAGCCCTCCTAAAGCACATGCCTCGCTCTACATATGGCGGATTCCTATAGAAGATAGCAGCTGCAGACCCAGATAAACGTATATTCAGAAGATCCTGAAGGGTGTGTATGGTGCATCTGGGGTCTGGACTGGGTCATCTGGTGCCTACGCTTTCCGGGCGCAGGCCCTTCGCACTTGTAAAGTAAAGGAATTTAGGCTTCGGGTGTCCGATCTACGCCATTACAGGATTTAGAGTTCTAGTGACATACGGATTAACAGAACCTCAAGAAGTTAACGGGTGCTCCTCTGCGCTCTCGAGTCCACCCACCTCGCTGATGCCTGCGGCATGGTCGTTCTGGCTCGTAGGGGAGCAGTGATCCCATAAAGCTCGAATCAATGCAATCACCCACTGCACTCTAGACCTTTCTGGCAATTAGGCCACAAATCCACCAACACGGTTTGATTACAATGAACCCTTGCTACAGGAGGTACTGGTGTACAAGCATAAGATGGCGTACAAATCTATATGAGCCCCGGGTGAGCAACCCTGAACCATCTCTGAGTTATTCAGCCTATACGGTTTGCAAACACGACATCACGATCATGCGGTCGGCAAACAGTACATGGAGTCTCACACGGCGACGCTCAAATTTGTGGTGAACATTGCAAATCAAGCCCCAGTTTGTCCACAACCCCTACCGGCCCATATCTTGTGTCGCTTCCACCTCGGTCATATTTGCTTTTGTCTTGGTCTAGGAGTTGAGGCTCACCTAAATCGGAGACCCTGTAGAAACCCGTGTGCTCTAACCCTGTAAGCCCTAGATCCTGGATCCTCGACAGCCCAGCAGCCTGCAACGCACATGCCCTTGACGGGATCCTCCAAGGCACAGTTGATGACAGGCAAAACTGTACTTTGTTCTCTCGGCTCTCCAGGTGATTCGCATAATGACACCATCCTTTCAGCAATTGGCATATTTGGCTTTAAGTCTGTGTGATCTGGAAATGGGCTTAGGTAGGTTTATGCCTTTGCCAAAGACCCTGCGAGTCCTTCCGAAAGCGCATCGGGTTGCGGGTTTCAGGGTACAGTTTTTTGGGTTTGCGGGGTTTGGGGCTTCTCGGTGGACCCGGGTCTTGAGTGCACGGGCTCGCGGCTCCACGAACCCACATAGTACTAACTCTAAAGTGCCTATTGATCTAGGAACCGCCTTACGAAAAAGGTAGACATGTATAGGCACCTGAATCATTCGATAGAAAGCGGAGGCAGAAGGGCCGTCAGACGCGGAAGCGTAAGCCTTTTTAGAGCGTGGTGGGCGCAGTGACAGCGTTCGACCTTAAGGAACGAGCCCTGCGCCCGAAGACCTAGGCACGAAGCCAAACCTCCAGAACTTGGACACTGAGTGAGGGCTTCAAAGGCCTGAGCTTGATATCTACAGCTGAGCTGGCGTAAGAGGTGCCGGTTGGGTTCGTGCACTGGCAAACGCGCGCAGTTTTTAAGTTTTTGACCGAATCAAACACGACTTATGACAGACGGAACCTAAGCACCCAAAGATCTTGAAAGGCCAGAGACTTCTATGATCTCTCACCAGAATCCCCGAAGTCTGATCAGAATCTCGTGGTCCTCTCGGATGTCCAGGAAGTCTCCGTCAGGGCGCAAGAGATCCCTGACCTCTGAGGATACACCGCGGCTTCTGGGTTTACGGTTTGATGGTTTAAACTTTAGGCTTCTGAGTTGAGGGCTTACGCCTATTTACGCGCCACGCGTGACTCTGTCTCCGTCCTACACTGAAAGTCCCACTCCGTAGGCCTATGTACGGCGGGGCACAAAAAGAAGGGCCCAACAAGAGATCTCCGGAAGGCAAAACCACCGAAATCGACACAACAGAGGTCCCAGTAAAGTTGCAAGAACCTTCCACTGCAGCAGACCCTCCCGCAAAGCCCAGTCAAAATATTTGGGACCCTATATGCCGATCAAAACTTAATCTCCGTCTTCATGTCTAAACCGAACTCTAAACCCCAAGCTGCCGAAGCGATCAACCCCAAATGAACCCCCGGCGCAAAAACAATATGAAGCCTGCGAATCGAAAACGCAAACTCCGAAATGCACCTCGCCCTCGAGTAAGCCCGAAACCTTGAACTCTAACAGTCCTAAGCCTCAACTGCAACCTTGCTCCCTAAATTCTCTAAACCTTATCACCGCAACCCACTCACCCCCACCTGAAGCCGGAAGCAGGTACGACACAAGCTAAAGGGACAACGTCGAAAGAAATCAATTTGCTTCTCCTTATGTCAGCCGAGAAGCATTCTCATTGTAGACCTCCAGGAAGGAGCACTTGATCCTCAGCAGCTCAGCTGCCCTCGACTCTTAAACCAGCCTTCTCGGTTGCCATTTCGACCAGCATTGCTGACTGAGCCAGGTAAACTTCAGGATTGATATCATGGAACCTGCTGGCTGTACCGGCGATGCCTGAACGAGGAGCTCTTCCCCATTTTTCTCCGACACCTTTGCTCTAATGCACCCTAAGCCTGCAGGCCCTAAACTCTGAACCTTGGAACCATAAAACCCGAAACCTCATCCCAGGCACTCGAAGTGGTTGTTGTCCTTCTGGTTGGCCACCTGCAAAGGCAGAACATGGGCTGAACACTCACGAGCTTAGAGCCGAGAGGGTCCATTGCCCCATGAAATCGCTCTGCCGACCTGGACGGAATCTGCAAATGCACCAAGCGTGTGTTTTTGAAGCACGTCTCATCTGGCAGGCGGCAGGCCTGTAATTAGGCGCAAGAATCTGTCGAGACCCTGTCGAAGGCACTAAAGAGCGAGCGGGGCTGACACACGGTTGGGTTTAACGGCCGGGACCGGCGCAGAGGTGGTGACAGTTCCGATATCGGGCTGAAGTGCCAATCACATATTGCACACAGACAGATGGAAGATTAACCTTGTGGATGCGGATAAGAGGTTCGGCTTCGTCCGGTCGAAGCCTCGCTGAAAAGATCACGCAGCGTCAGCAGCATGATGCCAGGCTCGCCTGGATAACCTGCACTGCAAGGACTACGCGACTTGAGACTTGATCCCTCATCAGACCTCAAGCAGGCCCGAGAATGGCCCATATTCAGGACTGAAAACTTGAACGATTCTTCGGCGATCTCGACTCATTGGCCTGCGTTAAAAACTCTTGCACTGTAGACGTGTACATGGATAATAAAGCTACCAGCTGTCTGTTCTGGCTCCTCTATATGCAACCATATGTCGAAACATACTAACCCCCTACAGAGGCAACCATGAACCAGCATACAAGTCTACAAATCCCTGAACAGAATGAAAACCCCATCGCTCATAAGCCATAAACCCTAAGACCCCCTAAACCAAATGCCTCGGACACTTGAGTCCAAACATCAAATCAGAACCGCGGGGCCCAGCATCGTGTGGGTTTTACCCGCACTGGTCGCGCCATAAGCGAAGACGGTGGCATTGAATCCCTGTATGACCTTGAGCTGCAGGCTTGAAGACAGCGAGAGTGTATCATGGGTTTAGGGCTTTAGCACTTCAGGGTCTTAGGGTTTAGGATTACAGCGAAAAGGCGCAAACACGCTCTGTGCAGGCTTTCTGGATTTGGCCGTTTATGGGTCTAGGCTTGCGGGAAGGTTATGGCATCAATGATTTGGGGCTTGCCGGTCTTGGAAACGGAAATTGATTTAGATTTCCATTGTAAACAGGGAATTCCCGTTGAAGCCGTTCCTTGTAGGATTCTAGGAGAATGAATTTTGTACGTGACCATTCATTCATACATACATACATACATACATACATATAGGTATGTGTATTTATTTATTTATATAGTCATATTCATATGAATATAAATAGAACTATAGATATTAATACTAATATTAATATGTATGTAAAAATAACTAGTTATACATATATATATATACACATACATACATACATACATACATACATACATACATACATACATACACATACATGTTGCTGCCAGTAAGCAAGACTGTGTAAACACCGCAACAAAAGCTTGTAACACCCGAACTCGCATACCAGAGCTAATGATAAGAGGACTACGAGCCTGAAAGCAGTAACCCTTTACATCCAGCAATGTCAAGATCTGACCTCAACCTTTACCAGGAGCTCACACCACAGTCCTAAGGCACCCTGAACCGTAAGCGTGAAGCCTCGAAATGCCCCTGTAGTACATGTAGCGCTTGCGCAGCAGGATGTACCGGCGAATGCATGTAGGCGTCATACTATGGCCCTCAAGATACTTATCTCCTGCACCCCGAACTTACATTCCTTCTGAACGCCGAGGACTCCAACCCCAAGCGGGGCCCAAAAGCAGAAAGCCCTACAATCGGTGTACGTCCCAGACCCAGCAAGCTTTCCCAAACCCTAAGCCCTAACAAAACCCGAAGCTTGAATCCTTAAATCCGAAAATTTCCTAAAGCCCAAAAACACATCAACGCCCCCCCAGCCTCTCCACCGGCCCACCCCTCCGGCACCCTCGCCGGGCACCGACGACAACACCACAACCCCGGGGCCGCTGCACTGGGAATCAGGAAGCGCGTCGTCCGCTCGTAGACCTGCCACCGAAGGTATTCAGAGGGCTCTAACAATATGTACTGAGGGTTCAAGATGTGTAGGGCTCAGGGTTCGGGGTGTTCTTATGGATGGAAGGTTTACAAAGTAGGGCTTTAGAGGTTTTGGGATTAAGACTCTTGCGGTTTAGGCTTCGGGGCTGGAGCTACTAAAGGCTCAAGAGGTCCTTTGAAGCTTTTGGTTCAGGGCCCGGGGTCCCTCTTCTAGACCCTCCACGACGCAAAATTCGAGGGGTCTTGTTGTGTTATGTTCAAGACCGGCCAGGCTACTCACACCAGTGGTCTGCGCTATGATCACTATTCTCACGGCTGGATTCTATTTGGGCACCTAGAATGCTGATCATTCTATAAGGGTTCGCCTGTGGTCTGTCGGCAGTGAGGGCACGGCACTCATGCTTGTTGCCGTTCTTTGTACTACGTACTGCACATGCTGTTGCGCACTTGCTCCAGAGAACTAGGGCCAAAACAGGGTCCTGGTACTCGTAGCAGTACGATTTGACCTCTTTCCGCTCAGAAAGGACGAGGCCTCAAGGTTCTGGGCGGTCTCGTCGCAAGCCTGGGCAGGGTTTGTGCGGCTTAGGACGGACGCCAGCTTGCTGAAAATGCCGCACAGGGTTAACACAGGCTTTCAGTAGCTTAGTTTTGTCGAATCTGGACAGTTCGCTTTTATGAAGGTTGGTGGAGATTTTCCGCCCGGTATGTGCGAATTCCGATTAGGCACTGGGGCTAGGCGTCCCGATCCTTTTCTTGAGTTTGCAAAGTTGACAAAATTAAAAGCACGTCCGATAGTCTTTTTCCGACGGGCTGAACTGCACAACCCTCAAACCTTCCAGCCATGGAAGCTAAACTCTAAAACGCAGAAAAAACTCATCCCAAAGCATTGTTTGCCCTATTGTCAGACCTTCAATGATTGAGATTCTGTGCATAAGGCTTTAGATAATGTAGGATGGGCGATGAAAGGCTCCCTGCCCTGAGGTCAAATATCGACCCTAAAACGGAGACACGAGCCAGTATTCGCGAGGATTTCGCGATCGCTGCCGACTGACTATGCCGAAATTCTTGAGCCGGTACTGAATGCACTGCACCCCCAAGGGAGAGCTGCGCCTGATCGAAGTGATATCGCCTTTCCTTGGACTTGTTCAGACCTCAGGCCACGATATTCATCTTTGCGTCTTCAGAAGAAGGTTTTAGGGTTAAGTGAGTTAAGTGGGGTTAGCGTTTTACAAATGTCTATGTCCGCTTTCTTCTGCTGCTGGTTTAGGGCTTAGAGCTTCTAGGGTTTGAGGTTCAGGGCTTAGGAAGCTGTGAGTGGGGGCTTTAGTGTCAGGGCGGTAAGGGTATTTAGCCGATGCTGCTCTAGTGATCGGGGTATGATGTTCAGGCATGCTGGGACCTCACTTTTGGTTGGTTAGTTATAAACCCTGAACCCTAATACTTTGCTGGGCTGTTCAAACCTCATGCGTGCATACTTTCATACTCCTACTCCTTGAACTGGCGATCCTCGCACAAACATCTGGTTCCTCGGAACTCCTCGTTGCCGTCTAATGATTCCGCTGTACGCTCAAAACATATTTACAAATTTCAACATTCCCACAGCCCAACAAGCATTTCAACCTTTGGAGCTTCGGCCGGCAATCTTTGAGAGAGCTTACAAAGCGACGTCGAACCATGACAAGGTCCTTCTTATAGGGGCTCCTGTCAAAATCCCCCCTTATCATAGATGTCTTCGGGGCGATCCTGTGTTTCAAAAGCCCCCTCTGTGTGACCTGTCTTTTAAGCCAATGCCTTCCTCCCGAAGCACCAGCTATACTGAGGCATGTTGAAGTGTCATCCTGGCACCCGGCGTAAATAGTCATCGGCCGCAGTGGTGTGCGGGTCCTTTCAGCGGGGTTGGCGGTTTACAGCTTAGGCTTTGAGGGCCATGTCTCTGGGTTTGTAAATCTGCACCTGACCTGGCCGTAGTTATTGTCACGTGCTTGATATATCTTGCCTGCATTGTCTTCCTAGCTCTGCTGCTCGCTGCTTCCACAAATGTCCCGGTAACGTCTAAACCTCATAAACCTCAAGCACAAAACTTTATTCTAAATCCTATCGCTCGGGTAGAGAAGTAAACCCTAAGCGCCAACACTAAAACGTACTAGAACTCAAGAGCCTGAGCCTCATCTAAGCCCTCACCCAAAACCCAGAACTCTTTCAGCTTCGGGCCTTCAACCCCTGAACCCTAACCTGTGAACCCCAAATGTACGGTTTGGGGCCGAGGGGTGTATCTGCAAGCATGCCATCCATCACTGCAAATCGCCCTGTGCATCGCACAGGGTCCATCTTTGCTTTTCTCGGGTTCCGGCGGCTTCCTGCACAAGCCTTGACACCAACCTATAAAGCGGCCGGCGTGGTATGGACGTGCTTTATTAAATACCCGACAAATTCATTCGTCGTTTGGGAACAATAACGTGAATCAGTCCTTCAAGTGCAACGCCTATAGGCCGCAGGTTTACGTATTTGTCACCTTCATGTTGCGTTCCTGGATAAGCTTATTGACATAACGGTTCATCTACTGGGGGATGCATGCAGCAAATAGCATCCCCAAGAACCTACTCCAAAAACGCAAATCAAAACCTCCGCAGAAAGACTGACACTTCCGCCTTCCTGATATCTGAACGAAGCTTTAAGTTTGCTACTGTTCGGCAAATCCTCCAGGATCACCGTGGTGCGGTTCGCGATGCTGATGATGGCGTGGCCTCTCTTCTCACACATTGACCCAACTCATATACTACGGCATTGCGGTCCCAAAGGCCTCACACCAAACACGTGCAAACCAATAATAGTAATTCAGCCGGCAACACTGTGCGAAAGACATCTGGAAATGAGCCTTGCACCCTAAAGCTGTCCGGCTCTGTTGCCCGCAGCTTGAAAACAGTTGCTGGACCATGCGGTTCAGTTCAAGCAGTGTGTGCTCAGACCCTGCAGAGACTCACAACACTCTGGCGAGGAACATCCTCATGCAACTGGAGCGAGCCTTTGCAACAAGCAGGTGCTGCACGGTACTCCGATTTCCTGAGGCCTTGGAACCCGAACCGCCCCTCGAACGACATAAGAACAAAAAATCCGAACACCGAAACACCATCCCACCTCCAGTCACTCGCTCCTGGGGGAGAAGCGCTCGGCACCTCCGGCACATGCTATTGGAGTCACTGCTGAGGCTTTCGGACTGTAAATAGAGGCTTCCAGTTAAGGTTTCAGGTCGTTTCAGTGTCGGGCTGAGGGTTCGGCCCAGGAATGCCTGGAGGCGTTTGGGCAGTTGCTGGTCTCCCTCCGTTGCATTGGATCCAGAGTCGAGTTGCTGCTCTCAGCCTTTAGTGAACCTGCGATACGCGACCTTGCTTGGGATTCCCAAATGCTACACTCTGGACCTTCATTTCCTAGACCCGCAAACCCTGAAACCAAACCCAAAAGATTCTATGGACGTCTAGTCTACATGCCAGTTGGGGCTGCAGTCCTCCGTTAGAAGCTGCAGCATTTGCACTAAGCCACAGGTTGGCAAGATGGGCTCCAGTTCCCAGCGCCGCTCCCGCGGCATGTGCAAACGGAGCATAGCATGGATGCCCAAGTGTGCGCAGCTGCTCTGTACCCACTCATGTAGCAGCTGGAGTCACAACAGTATAAAGCTTCTGGCTCAGCTGCCGCTGTTGACATGATTTCCCTATGTCGTAGGACCAGTGTTTAAAAACAATGACTGTCACTGCGCAGACACCTAGCAGGATACCTGTCAACCCCTGGACACGTGAATGCAGTGTCTGCAGACTTGAGGCATCTACATCCGCAACCCAGAGAGTCTGAGACGGGTTTGGGGCTTCAGGGTGTCCGGTTTTGGAATTTACGATGTTAAGATTCGGGTGAAGGGTTTCGGGTGTCCGCTTATCGGATTTAGGGCTAAGGGCGTCGGGTTGTCGAGCTTATGGCTTTCGGGTCTATGCCTTTAGGGTTGTGGGGTCCGTGGAACAAGTCGTGAAGGTTTAGGGTGCTTGGGTTGGTTACGGTTGGGGTGAGGCCTACACTCCCTAAACCCGAAGCGTTGTAGACAGAGCCACCTCACTGCCACGAGGATGTTGTGAGCCCCGGGCCGAGCAGCGGCTCCTTCGGTGTCCTGTGGTGATTCAAACTTAGGGGATGGAGACGGGGTCTGCGGCTCAGGGTTCCGGCATCGTCGGCGTTACTTTGGGCCTGGGGCCTGCGGGGCTTTACTGCGGCTGGACGAAAGCTTCATTGCTCAGAAGCCTGACCGGCCAGCGCTTGCCTGGGACTCCACTGGAAGCAGGTGCCAAGGGATCCTAGCTATTATCTGGATGATTCGTACATGCGCGACACAAACCATAATCGTAACCTAATCGAAGCTTCACTCTCGACTGAGTAGATACTTCGAACCCCCGTGGTGTGCTGTATGTGCAAGACGGGGAAGAATATGCTCCGCGCTGGCCAGGGGCACTCCACTGTAGAGGGTATGCCGTAAGGACCCAGTCCTGATGCAAATCCACCCTCTCTGAACGGGTGTGGAGATTCGATTCAAGACTGTTGATATTCGCGCTTTGATCACGAGGGCTCAAATACACCAGGCCCTGCACAAGCCCGACATCCTAGATAGGCCCAGGATCAGATGTCATGACATGTGACAAAGACACTGTGGGTGATGAGACGACTAAGCGAGCGAGCTGAGATGATAACTTAGGAGATGTGAGTCAGAATTTACCTACGGGATCCGTGATGTGGACCTCGTCCAATCGTCCAGCCGCTAACCCATTCCTAACTAGGGAAACATCTAGTCAGCCCCACGTCCTACAATACACCTTTCACAAACCAAGCTCAGATGCTGGCTAGCTTGGTCTGAGATATCAACTTGTCGGCAGTGTCTGAGCTCTCGGGTTCGGAGCTTACGGAAAGGTGCAGGGAGCTTCGGAATTGAATCAGATTTGGGTTTGCAGGTCAGGGCGCAGGGTTTCAAGTTGAAGGTTTCGGCATCAGGCTAGGGGTGTATGGTTTGGGGCTCAGGTCTCGCTTATTTTGCTGGTCACGCCTCCTCGCCAAAATCCCTGGAAGCTCGTCCATCTGCTGGGCCTGCTGGCAACTCCCCTCCTAACATACCCAAAAACGTTCAACGCAAGCCGGAATAAAGCCAAAGCACAACCCGAAAGCAGAAATGCACAACTTGTTCCCTTACGACCGAAGCCAACACCAAAACCGCAAACCCTGACGGAAACACGCCAGGCCTGAAACCCAAGACGACTGAATATGCAGGGGTTTTCTGGGGGCTGGCTCTGAGGCGTGAGACTTCAAGGAGTTCGAAGCGCTTTGGGTGTACATTGGTTTTTGTGTGATCCTGACCAACGTCTATGAATCGGGTTTGCAGCCGTTGAGCTGCAAGGAAGGATACGTCGGGGGCTAAGATAGATTCGGTGGGAAAACGGGGTTTTAATGAACACGCGGCAGTTAAATGGTTTCGGGCTACATGCTGACTACGACACTTAGCCAGAGCAGGACTAGCGGGGGGAGCGGATTTAAGGGCCTGGTGCTGCTCCGGATTCTGCGCGAAGCCACGTGAACGTGCTCGAACGCATCCGAGGTATCACTACAACAAGGGCGCAATGCGCCCCCGGTAGCATCTCGGTAGAAACAAATGTTTCCTCCGAGCGCTGACCGCAACAGCACATCAACCTCGGGAATTGCGCGAGGGTGACCGAAGCCTTTCTAGACAGTCCCTGTCCCGAAAAACGGGTCTTCCGAGCCGGACCATGCTAAGCAAGAGTCTAAGCATCATTCCAAGCGAGATAAACCGGGACAAGGCAAGCAGGACAGCACGGGTTTGTCCTGCTTGCATGGTCCCGGTTTGTCCTGGTCTGTCCTGCTTGCTTTGTCCGGTTTGTCCTGCTTTGTCCTGGTCTCTGCTGTGTGCTGTGTCCCGGTTTGTTCTGCTTTATCGCGGTCTGTTCTACGTTGTCTCGGTTTAGGTTCGAGGGTGTCTCGCTAAGCCAAGAAGAAGCAACTCTCAAAGATCCTTCGAGCATAGATTGCGTGGCGAATCTTCAAGATTACACAATGCGATTCTTGAGTCTTGAGATCGAGCAAACCGTCAAAGCTCCGCCTACAAATGTTCCGGCGAGATCTAATCTAACGCAGAAATATTCCTGCATGATCATGCGTTTTCAAGCCTCCTTATGAAAGGGACCTCACCCCGTTTCCTGCTACCCCCGACAACCTCTTTCTGAGTTTCGGGGTGTCTTCTGTGCGTTGGGTGGGCCCACGGCGAGGATCCGAACTATGCCCTGAACCCCTTTAAACTGTCAGGGTTCAGGATGCAGCCGTTGCGCCGTGGGGTTTACGACCTTCCAGCGCCCATAATTCGAAGAGCCGCTACGTAGAAGCCCCGTTCACTCAATTTCGCAAGCACCAAGACGCAGGCTTGAGCCAAACTTAAGACAAACACCTGACCCCTGAACCTGAGGCTCGAACCCGTACAGACGCCAGGGCCCCAGCCTTACACCCTTATACACAAGCCTCAACAATAAGAGCGGGATTTGGAGTTATTCAACTTTGAACCCCAGACGAGAAGGAGCAAACATCGTGAAGAGTTGTTCAGACTCCTGTTGGTACATGTTGGACTTTATCCAGGAGAAGAGGTCGTTGCGGTGTGAACTCCAGGACCCCGTTTTTAGGGCCGACGGGTCCTACCACCTAAACTTCATGAAACCCCAAACTCTAAACCTCCCTAAATCCCAAGCCATAGACCTTTTCCGGCCTTCGCTCAGGCTTCGCAGCTTGGCGTTGGAGACGAGACGTGGTCTTTCCTCTCTGCACGTTTTGAGGTGTTTCTAGGATTTTGGGCCTTTAGAGCTGAGGGGGTTTGGCGGAGGGCGTTAGGATTTAGGGCTTTGGGTGTCGATGACGAAGGTTTTGCGGTGGGCGGTGCAGCCTCAGCGGACGACGGACACAGAGTTTGCAGATTGTGCGGGGGTTTCGGATTTGGAGCTTTCCCTGGGCTTTTTCAGGTTTTCGCATTTGGACCGGAGGGCACAACAACAACAACAACAACAACAACAACAACAACAACAACAACAACACCAACAACAGCAACACCAGCAACAACAGCAACAACAACAACAACAACAACAACTACAACTACTACTACTACTACTACTACTACTACTACTACTACTTCTACTACTACTACTACTACTAGCAGTGTCACAAGTTGCTGATACATACCGTACATACCAGTCACCTTACTCCTGAACCTAAAACTCATACTTACCCGAAACTCGACAACCTGACCTCAACAAGATTGCATACCAAACTCGGAATCCCAATACCAACATAAAACCCTAAAAACCTGCATGATTAACCTATACTCCCCGATAACTCCCCATTAAATCCACTACAAGAGCCCCAGCCCCTGAAAGCCCCCATAGAGCGCTGATCCCTAAAGCCGATAGCAGTTGCCTGGCCCTCCGGTAGACCCGGCGGCCGCGGCGGGTTGCCCGAAGGCTCTGTTGGCCTCTGCAGCTCTCAGTACGAGTACTGAGGAGTAACTGCTAGGGAAAATATGAATCGGTTCTAAGAGGGTTTGCTGCCAGTTTTACGCTGAAGGCTGCTACAAGGCGCTACAGTACTCCTTTCAGTAAAAGGAGGGGTTCAGGCTGTAGTTCGTACAGCTTCGAGCTTAGGGTTGGGGGCGGGTTGGCTCCTCCCAAACAAAGGCTTACAGTCCCAAACGAATTCTGTGGCGGCGATCAGGAAGTGACGATGTTCAACTCGAAATCAATTTCTAAAAGGAGTGTAATCAGGATTTCGAGCCCGGAGTGCTTGCGGGGTCGGTCGGATGCGTGTCTGCTAAGCTCTTGTTCACAGGAAGACAGTTCAAGGTGTCGTTTGGTGATTTTTTACGGCTTACGACATGTCTGATGCTGCAATGCGGCTTGCTCTGTTCACCAGGCTCCTCACAAAGTCTGATGCAGAAGCCAAAAAGAACCATCAACCCCTTGCCCAGCAGGGCGGCCTCATCAGCCACGACAACCCGCCCGACACATCGTCATGGCCCCGATGCGACGGACGTCATCTGTAATTGCTCAGGGGGTTAAATCCGAGAGCTGGTGGGGTTTAGGGTCGTAGAGTCGGGCTTCGGAGTGTGTGCTACTTAAGGTTTGTGGGCTTCTGGCTCGGGATCTTGGGCTGTCTGATGGAGGGAGACACTTGGATCTTTGGGCATTGGGCGAACAGGCCGCCCTCAAAAGAGTCGAGGCAGACTCTGCACTGTTCAGTTTCGGATAGAGTTGCTCCAAGGACACTACATCCTAAACAGGGCTCGATATCGTTCGACTTGCTTCAATCTGACTCCCTGAATTCTTTCAGCTGCGGTGCCGCTTCGTGAGAAGAACAATCAGGCTGAAGGAAGCCCGGCATAGTGAAGGGTTCAGGCTTTGCGGGCCTCTTTTGCAACCATCCAGGAAGGGAATCACCAGAACGTTAAACACTGAGAACAAGCACGCCGAAGAGGCGGTGCTGGGAACTGCTTGGGATCTTGCTCCACTTCTGCTCTCAGTCATTGGTTGGGATTCCAGTTCAGGCTGATGGCGAAAGAAGCCGAAAATCCGATGTAACATCCAGAAGCTAGACACCACGACCTATCTGTCTGTGCTATGTAGAACCAGTCTTATCGCTGTTGTGACGAGCTTGGCCCCTGCCCAAAAACAAGCGGGAAGACTTTGAGCAATGGGTTTTTTGCATCGCTTCGACACATATCAGATTTGCGGCTTCGGTCTGGCTTCAGATTGAGGACTGAAGCGGTGTAGGACAGTGTAGGGTTGAGTAGCTCAGTTGGGGCGAGCGGTATACATGTTGGGTAGGGAAGACTGACTGTAGGATACATGGACAATGGACTGAGAGGTAGCAGGCCCATCGTCGTGCTTTAGATATGCTTGAACAAACCACAGAAAAGAGTGCATAGTTAAAAGTGTCTATCTATCATTCAACCAGTCTATTTTACTATCTACCCATCTATCCATCTACCTATCCATCTATCTATTTGCCTATCTATCTGCCTGTCTCTCCATCCATCTATCCATCTGTTTGTTCATCTATCTATCTGTCTGTCTGTCTATCTATCTTCCTATCTACCTATCGATCTATCTATCTACCCATCTATCCATCTATCCATCTATCCATCTATCTATCTATCTATCTATCTATCTATATCTCTCTCTCCCTCTCTCTGTCTCTCCCTCTCTCTCCCAATCTGTCCATATGTATGTTATAAGCTAGACCACAGCACCTTTAGGCCTCCTCTTCTGACGTTTCGCAAGAATAGAACTTCAGAGACTCGGATTGCAAAACAATTTCCGGGTCGTCCGGGCTGGCTCAGGGAGTCTGGAATAAGTGTTGCAGATCAGGTAGTGGATCTAGAACAACTTCAAACCCACTGAACCGTCTCAAGAAAAAGTTGAAGTCTGCTCTTTTTTACATTCCGCCACATCGCTGGTTGACAGAACCGCTCACATCTTACGAGACGCTGTCAACGGGATGAGAACACCTGGCAGTTGCCAAGGCTTTGGTTCTTTTCAAGTTGGGACCCGTCGAGGGACAAGCGTTCGCGGATCGGTTAACTACATGAGCTGAGGGCAATGTCTATCGTACGAACTCGTGTCACCGGTAGGGTAATGATGCAACCAACAACCAGCAACTAGCAATCGGAAGTCACTATGACTGTACGCGACTACTGGATCTACTGGTGCAGGGGCAGACCCTGATGCCTCGCAAAGCTTTAACATCTTGATGTTTCTGGAAGTTTTCATGATGGCTTGTGCTGAATGTACTGCTGTGCGTGATTACATGCAATGCTTCTTTCACCGTTAATGTGTGCTATCCTGCCACCTTGTGCAATGACCTCGGTCTTTACACCTTTGGGTCAGCACAGTACCTTTGGCGGCACTAGTCACTCGTCGTCTTGGATCCTGCCTGAGCTTGGCCTGATCCCAACTAAAACATCCTAAGGTGGACTTACCAGTGTTGCATCAGCTTCTCCACCCACAACCCGGTCTAGAAACACAGTTCAAGCCTATTGTCTCCACACCAATCGGCAAACTGATTCGTGAGCACGTGCATCAGGCAGCGTCAACAGCATTGCGCTTGCTATTCCTCGGGTCTTGACCTACTTACGGTGAACGAGCACTACCCTGTTTCGACCTACCTATCATCATTGCCATGCAGACAGAACAGATGATCACGAAACCGTTAACGCTATTCAACGGCCAAACAATATATCCCGAATTACAAATCTGAACTAAACGCGAGACCCGAGCTTTAAACTACTACCCGTAAACTCGGACACCCACAATCGTGCCTCGCGCAGCACAGCTCTCTCAGCTTCCTGTGCCAGAGGCTACGGTGTGAAGTCCCGTCTTCTCGTCAGAGTCTGCTGGTAGAAGGACCCCTCAATCAAGAGTAATCTGAAGAAACGAACGCCCCGACGCCGACACGCGACACCCTGAAGGCCCTTTTTCCTGAAGAAGCAAGCTGGAACGCCTGATCGGCCTCGAAACCCGAGAAGCTGCGAACCCCGACCCCCAAAATCAGACAAACCTATCTTGTGAAGTGAGACCCAAACGAACTCCCAACATCCCTGAACAATTCCACGCTCCTCACCAGAACTTCCACAAAACCCCAAGGACCCCATGCGGACCTGGTCCGGGTTCGCCGGCCCTGATCGGCTTCAGTTGCTGGAAGGAAATTTGGACTTCGAGTGTTTTGCGAGACAAAGGTTGCAGGTCAAGGACTTAGCTTGGTGTTGGTATTGGCGTCGATCGTGCTTCTTCTTCGCTTCTGGTTGAAGAGAGTGAGGGTGTCAGAGGCTTCACGGCTTGAGACAGGGTTTTATGGTGTCCTGAGCTGCGGGCTTGAAGGTTTAGGGTCAGGGTCTAGCGCTTGGGGTGTTCATAAACGCTTCAGGCTGGCGTTCGTCAGTTCGGGTGTTGAGGTGTACGGTGTTTCAGATACTCGGTGACTATGTAAGCCTTACCCATATACCCGGGCCTTAAACCCACAACCTCCCTAATGAAGCCTTGTGCGACACTTCATGCATAGGCTTTCTGGTTTCAATCCCGGAATCCCGAAGGACTCCACTCTAACCCGTAACCTTAAGAACCCAAAATCTGCAAGCCCAATGCGGTTGAGGCGTGTTTTGAATCATAACCTGCCAGCCTGAAACTGTCAGGATATCTGGCTTCTCCTTGTTGGCTTGGAAGTCAGATTTAGCAGAACATCCAAAGTACGTTGTTTTGCTGTATGTATCGACAAATAAATCAATAAACAAATAAATAAATAAATATAAATCAATAAATAAATAAATAAATAAATAAATAAATATATATATATATATATATATTGCAGACGGTTTTCTGCTGGCTGGCAGCATTAAGACCAGAGTTTCTGTTACATGGCGCTTCCTTTTAGACAAGGCATAAGGCGGAAGCTTTCTGTTACAAAGCATATTGGAGTTCTCGTCTAGATGCTAATATTCTTAATGTCTGGGGTGTAGTTTGGCAGATACCCACATCCATGCACAATGACTTTAAACCGCGAACTCTACACTCTGTCAAGCCAGACTTGTAAACCCTGGCTCCTAGACTTCGGAACCTAATCTCGACGCCATACGAATTGGATCGGGATTTTCTATACACATCTCAGGCAACCTTGAGGAAGACCCTGCATGAAATCGAGCCTTCCTCGATTGACCCTCCACCCGAAACTCTAAGGCCCAAGCCCAGGTAGTGCCAGTGGTGCCGGCGGTTGCGTCGGACTGGCCTTGCATCAAAGGGGCTTGGGCTGTAGAGGATTAGGCACTTGGGTTTAGGGGTGTGCGATTCCGCGCTTTAGTAGGGGCATTTTGCGCAGTAGCAAGCAAGTCATGCGAGAAAACTGGGTGTACGTTAGACACCGATAAGGGTTCAGTACTTAGTAGTAAAAAGCAGCGCAGCAACAAATGGTTTGATAAAGGTGCCGGGCTGGGGCTTGGGATCGCAAACACCAAGAAAGGTCTTGAAAGTTGCGTAGATGCATCCGGAACCTAATCCTCCTCATGCCCAATCATCCTGAATCCATGTTCCGTCTTTCTAGGGTTCACCATAAGGGATTTGGCCAGAAGATCTACTGCTTGATATCCTTGTGGCTCTCATGCTCATTGGCCCGATGTTGCGAAGAAAGTAAGGGCTCACGCCAACAAGAGTCTTCCGAAAGCACAAGAATAGATCAAGTGGGGCCGTCGCCAGCCGGAACACTTCCAATCAACAATCAACATTTCAGGGTTGAGGAACCTCCAGAGCAGTTCCTGGGCCGTTTCAGCAGTTCCGCCAATACAGTACTTCTTGGCACAAGAACCCCACAGTTTTAGACTAGATACTCGGGCTGAAAACTAAACACCACCAACGAAAACCCTGAAGTGCTACAACCCTGCAACCTTTCCGACGTCCCTAAACTCTAAGGCCAAAAAGTCGAACTTCACATCCCGGAAGACCTCGATCCCCCAAAATCCCCCCATCCCTGGAACCCTACACCCCTTCACTCTGAAACCTCCGCCGGGCCTTCACAAGCTTGCCCGACGAAGCTGCCGCAGCCAGTGTGGAGGAGTCCACACCCATGGCGACGGTGGGCTGCACGCCTGGTAAGAGGCTGAAACGGTGAGTTTTTGAAGCTTTGTTGGGTTTAGGAGCATTTAGGGGAAGGGTGCCAGGCTCCGGATTGGGGTTCTGGGTGTGTCGAGGAGGCACCCAAGATGTGGGGTATACTTTGACCGGTTACAACAGGGTTTGCGACAATTAACGGCAGAAAGGCTCAACACATGCCGAGAAACAGTAAGCTTCAAGAACAAAACATTATAAAAGCCTTAAGCTCTGAAGACAACCAAAACTTGCTTTTTGTTTGAAGCTCCTTTTTCCGTCCGCAATCCACAGTCGGAAGGCCCAGAGGTTGGGCCAGGACCAGGGTTTAGGGCTCCCAGGGTACAGGATTCA